TTACGCCCGCCCCCCAGGAAATTCTTACAAGCTTGCCCCCAGATAAAGGTGGAAATAGAGACACCATCCTCTACTCCCCCAGTTTCATGGCTGCCCTGAAATGGACTCCAGCCCTCAGATCTCGTCCTCGTTCCTCCCCCCAGAGACCAGGGCCTTGCTCAGCGGCCACAGGGGTAGCTATCTGGACTTGGATTTGTCTCCCTCCAGGACCCCTCTGACACCATTGCCTGAGCTTTTTGTGGTGAAGGTTGTCTTCAGCACCAGAAGGTTCTGGGGACCTTTAACGTTCTCTGTCCTTCCTGCTGCCTCTGACCTTTCACGTAGGGTAACTCTACCCAACCCCCCGGAACCACCCTGCACTCTCTCTGTCCCCTCCTCTCTCTGCATTTCCATCTACCTCCATCTGAGCCCTCCCCAGGGAGCCCCCTAGTCCTTCCCCACTTTGGCAACATTTCTTTAAGGCAACAGCCACCCTGGCCTTTCCAAGTATCCACCCAGAGGGTCCCTCACTCTGCGAGGTGACATCTTCATTGTATACAGCCAGGGAAGCCTCACGGTGGGGGGTGGGGTGGGATTCCTTGCTGGCCCTTCCTGCCCCCTCGCCCCCGCTCAGGGTCCCCTCTGGCCTCGGCTCTGCCTGGAGAGGGTCCTCGCTGGGCCATGGGCCCCCCAGCCTGCGGCTTCCGGTTGCCAGAGCGACTCAGTGTGGCCGCGCTGGGGGTTGGTTGGCGGGACAGACAGCAGAAGAAGACGTTTCCAGAGCCACAGGGCCTGGGCCCGGAGTCCAGGGTGATGGGCCTGCTGCCGGACAGGCAGTCACCGCCCTCAGCCCCCGGTCGGCACCCTCGCCCACTGGCAATTCGCTGCTTCTGTTTCTAAGATCAAAATATCCTATTCATTACTAATAAAGCTGATGGGTGAATTCGGCCTTCGATCTGCAGTCAAGAGGGTTGCCAGTATCCCTCACTCCCTAGTTTATTTTATTGTTTAATTTTTATTTTGTTTTGCAGTACAGTTGACTTACACGGTGTGTTAGTTTCAGGTGTACAGCAAAGTGATTCAGTTATACATACATCACACACCTATTCTTTTTCAGAGTCTTTTCCATTATAGGTTGTTACAGGATATTGAGCAGAGCTCCCTGTGCTCTACGGTGGGTCCTTGTTGTTTATCTATTTTACATATAGCAGTGTATTTCTGATAATCCCAAACTCCTACAAGAAATCCAGTTTTAAAGCTGTTGCCGTAGAGAACTTTACATTATTCCTAGTGTTTTCTCAAGCACTTTTTTTTTTATGTCCAGCATTGACAAGAGTCTATTTTTATTTATTTATTTTCTGGCTGCACCGCGCGGCTTGCGGCATCTCAGTTCCCTGATCAGGGATTGAGCCCAAGCCACAGCAGTGAAAGCCCGGAATCCTAACCACTAGGCCACCAGGGAACTCCTATTTTTAAAATTTTAATTCAATTTTTAAAGGTTACTTTCCATTGACAGTTATGACAAAATATTGGCTGTCTCCCCCGTGTTGTATTGATACAGCAGTCCCCGAGCCTGTCTTACACCCAGCAGTCTGTGCCCTCCCCTCGCCCACCCCATGTTGCCCCTCCCCCTCCCCACGGTAACGGCTAGTTTGTTCTCTAGATCTGCCTCACTCCCTCCTTTCATTGAACTGACTCCCTGCAAACTTCCAACCGGCCTGTGTGAGAAAGAACTACGGCCTGTGATTTGAGAATACGGGTCACAACCCAAACGGGGAGACGCAAGGAGAGTCAGGGGGGCCTTTACGAGTTTTATTTAGGGGATGACGGGGGTAGAACAGAAGAAGGGAAGCAGCTCTACCCGTGGGCATTTCCCCCTCCCTCTAAGAAACTCCCCCGCGCCAGGACCACGGACAAACCCCTCCCTGGAAGACAGCCTGCAGGGTTCTGTTTCACAAGCTGCTCCCAGGGTACAGATGCAGGCGCCTGCCTCCTTCTGCCGTCCTTGCCTCCTGGGAGTTCAGGTGCCTCGGCCTCGTCAGGGTTTCAAATAAGAAAGATTTGTTGTCCTCGCCCTCATTAGTTCTTTTTTTTTTTTTTTTTTTTCTTAAAGAAAAATGAGCTCAAGAAAGAGAAGTCTGCGCATAAGAACGTCTCTAGGCCAGGCTGGAGAGGCTAGGAAGGAAAGCTACCTAGGATTCATTCTTATAAACATCATAATAAATAACACGGATTTCAACAGACGGCTATAAATAACATCTAATGTTTGCACTCAACAGTTTCAGGCTCTCAGGTGATGGCCCGGGACAAGTGGCCGCCTGGTCCTGCCCTGCTGGCTCGCCGCCCGGTCACCTAAGCCTCCCTGTTTTCAGAGGTTGTTTTCTGCATCTCTCTCAGAGACCGTAGGCGCGCCAGCCCCTCCCTCGCTGCCCCGGGCGATCTTGGGGACCTGCCCCTTGGTGGGAGGACATCTGACGGGGAGGCCACTGGGTTACCGGTTTCCTTCCTCAGCGACTCACAGGCCCGCAGCCTCGCAGATGTGCTCCCTGGGTTTGTTTTGATAGCTTGTTTGAAAAACAGTTCCTATCCACCAGCTGTTCAGATAATCATATTCCAAGTGGCAACCAACTGGGATTATTATGGTTGCTGTTTACCCTGACCAGCATGGCTCAGCTGGAAGATATGGGCCTGGGTTGGGGGTCTCCTTTCTTGTTCTTGTGATTGCCGCCCAGGTTGGCCTTAAGGAAGCCTCCTTTTCCGCTTTCCTCCCCTGGGAGCCCTGTGTTCCCCGGGGAGACGACGAGGGGCAGGGATCTGAGGGAAGCTTCGGGAACGTGGGTGTTCTTGGCATCGGTGACCCTCACCCCATATCAGACCGTTTCGCCGTCAGTACTGGGACTTTGTGTCCCCGCTTGTGCAGGGTTGGAGGGAAGGCCTGGCTCAGAGGTTAAGCGTGTCCTCTGAACTCTCCCTCCAGTGCCCCAAACCTTCCAGGCCTAAAATCAAACTTCCCACGTGCCCACCCAGCCCTAGCACCCGTACCCTCTTCCCTCAGCGTGCAGACAGCACCCACTGCTCCCCACGCACCCACACCAGGCCTGCTGTCCCCCTGGCTTTCCTGTCCCTTGACCCCCAAAGTCAGGGGTTTGCCAAGCCTGGCTGAGTTTCCTGGGGCCTTTTTTCCCTCTGCCTCTATGTCTTCTTTCCCATCTCCACTGCCTCTGCCCACAGGTGCCCCGTCACCTGTCCCTTTCACCGTGGCAGGAACTTTCCATCACTGTCCCAGCCGTCTTTCCTCCTCTTCAACTGCACCCTCCCACCGCTGCTAGGCCCGGCTTCCTAACGCTGCCCTCTGTTGTCACTTACCTGCTCAAACCCCCTTAGCCCCTGCCCGCTGTGTGCAGCTCGGAGCGACGGGACCTTGTCTGCCATCCCAGGCCCTCGGCACCCTGGTTCCAACCTCACCTGATCTCCCTCTTTTGCTCGGTCCTGCTCTCTCCTCCTGTCTTGTCAAGCTCACATCTGTGCTTTCCAGCAGGGCTGATTCCAGGGGCTGCCCCTCCCTTGACAGGCTCCATGAACACACTTCCTGGAGTTGTACGGCCTGTGCGACAAGGGGGCCTCTGGGCCTTTGCACATGCTGCTTCCTTGTTCTGGAGCGCCGTCCTCCCCCAGCTGCCTGTGAAAGCCAAACAATTCTTCAAATGTGACTTCTTCCATGAAGCCTTCGGTGATCATCATTGCTTGAAAGGGTAGCTCATATTCACGGATCTCTGAAAAAAATTGTACCTTTTACGCTTATAATTTTCTTTGTATTTCAGATTTTGCTTAGAACACAAACCTCCATAAAGACTATTGATTACTTTCCTGTATATCGTCTGCTGTGCCTAGCGCTGGGCCTGGCACATAGTAAGTGCTCCGTAAGCTTTTGTTGGACGAATGAAAGAATGAATGACTTATGTTGGGCTTGGCTCCGCCACAGCTCACTGTTAACCTCTGGTTGCATTTAAATTCAGGTACACGGCCTCTCCTCGTGCTTATTTACTACTAGAAGCAGAGAAGGATTGAGTCAAACCCGAAAGATGGTCCCTCCATTACCCAGACTCAATGCGAAGCAGAGATTCTCAGGTACATGAGTCCACAGAATACTAACTGGTCCAGTGCAAACCATCACTCAGAATGCTGGGCCCCAGGATATGTCTCCAGGGCACGGGGGTCCGGGGGGCAGAGGGCTGTGGATGAGGGAGCATTGGGTCCCTGCCCCACTTCAACAGGTCAGCTCTACTTACTTCTGTGTCACACCGTGAGGTCTGGTAGAAGCTCTATTCAACCAGAGGCCCCCCGAAATTTTTTTAGGAAAAACAGAAACTAAAAAATATATATATGTAGTTCAACTGGGTAGACATCTTACAAGAAATGCCTGTCTAAACGTATTTGTAAGGTCCTTAAAGCACATCCCGCAGTATCCAATCCAGAGCAGTCACCCACACTGCCACGGGACAGCCGCCCGCAAAGAGTCATTGGGTCCAAGTGGCCCCTTTGTCCAGGGAAAGAGCAGGAGGGTGGGAATCAGTGCCAGGCCTTAGCTCGGCTCTGCCACGAACAGGTCGTGTAACTTACACCAAGTGCTTTCCCTCCCTAGACGCTGCAGCTCATTTACAAGTGCAAGTGCGGGGTGGCCCCCCTTGGGAAGGCAGGGCCGCACAGTGGTTAGGGGCGTCCCGGGTGAGCCTGATGGGGGCGGGGGCCGCTGGGAGAGGCGCACCAGGGCAGAAGTGCCAAGTGCTGGGCGCCCCGGTCTCCGGCGAGCCTGCGGATCTGGGAGGCCCGCTCCAGCTCTGTCACTCGGAGACTGACTCAGCTGGCAGCCGTAGGGCCCGGTTGCCGGGGGAAATGCTGTCGGCACATTTATTCTGGGTTTGGATATTTAAAGAGCTGGGTGTGTGGCACGACATTTCGGAAGTGCTTGGGGAGGGAGGGGTTGCGGACCAGGGATTTTTTTTTAACCGTTAGAGATAGCCTGTCCTGATCTCTCAGTCCACAAACAGTGATTTTCTTCCCTAAGAATCGGACGTGGGTTCTGCCCATTGTGTCTACCTGGCTGTGCAGCCTGGCAGGAAGCAGGTGGCCCAAGGTGGGACCTGGCTGCCGTGGGTCCCCATCCCAGTGCCACCCTGTCCCCTGGACGAGAAGCCTGGCAGTGGCCCCCAAGGTACCGGGAAGGAGGTAGAGCGGTGGTCTGGTTCCCCAAGGGCACCTGGGCAGTGCCATCTTCCACCTGGTGTGACACGATGGAGTGGCCTGGGCCCTCAGGAGTCTCGGGGCCCGGGTGACAGCACAGGGCCCCCGGGGACGCTGGGAGCGCGGGCTTCCTCTTCCTCACGGGTTGTTTGCACTGGCTCCGGAAACGCCGGCTGAAAGCTGGGACTTTGCGTCATTTTTTACTATTTGAACGGCCTCTTTGGGCTGCTTTTAGGAAGGTGGTTCTTTTGTCCCTTTTCTCACTCAGGATGTTGTTGCCGGTAGATTTCCTCACAGACGCTGTCTGCTGCCTTTGTTTTCCTTTCCAGATGCATATGGAGAAATCTTCCAGAACTGAGACCCCCGTCAGCAAATTGCACCTGTGGTGCAGTGAGTGGCACAGGGCAATGCTTCTCTCCTGACAGTTATTGTTTTCATTTCTGCTCACAGAGGTCATTTTGTCCACATGCTCATGGTAGCACATTTGAGAAATAGAGGAAATAAATATAGGTGATATAGGAGGAAAATTAGTACCACCTGTAGTTCCACGCCAGCCAGAGATCTACACTTGGCAATCTGGTGTTGGTTCCTTTTTTTTTTTAAATTGGGCTCATCCTGCACACAGTGTAAAGGAACCGGCGTTTCACGCCCCGCATTGTAGCATCAGCAATGTCCCCTGCCCTCGAAGCCTTGTGGGTGCAGTTTGCAAGCCTCTATGGCTCTCCTTTAGCTCTGCCACCACCAAAGCAACATCCAAGACATTAGCCCGCGTTAAGGAGGAAGGAGGACAGGAAAGCCACACCGCATGACCCGTGTTTGTATGTAGAGCTGAGACGGGTGGGATTGCGGGTGACTTTTATTCTATCATCATTATCTTCTTTCTCTTCTAGAGTTTGCACGTTTTTCTGTAACAGACCTGAGAGTAGAGGCAGGTGATGTGATCCGAGGTGCAAGCTCAGTCCTGCCTCCAAACCAGGTGAGTTTCTTGGCCGCCCTGGGCCTCAATTTCCTCACGTCTAAAGGGTGGATGCTGATGCTACCTACCTCACAGGTACATTTTGAAGGTCAGGTGTAGGTGAAATGATGCATAAGAAGCCCAGTGAAGGCCCAGGGATGGGAACAATTGTGGCTTTACAGTATAATCATACCAATTCTAGAAGTTACAGGATTATAGGCTGAATTATGTCCCCAAAACATTCACCTGTTGACGTCCTAACCCCTAGGAGCTCAGAATGTGAAAGTATTTGGAGACAGGGGTCTTTACAAGGGTAATTACATGAAAATGAAGTCCCTAGGACCCTAATCCCATGTGACTGGTGTCCTTAAAAGAAGAGTTGATTAGGACGCAGACGCACACGGAGGGAAGACCACCTGAGGACACAGGAAGAAGACAGCATCTCCAAGCCAAGCAGGGAGGCCTCCAAAGAAACCATTCCTGCCGACACCCTGACGTTGGACTTCCAGCCTCCGAACGGTGAGAAAATAAATTCTGTTGTTTAAGCCTCCAGCCCTTGGTCCTCTGTGATGGCTGCCCACGTGAACTGACCACAGGTCCTTAACTGGAATATCAGTGTCACCGTTGTTCATGGTCTGAATCTCCACCCTGAGGTCCTTACCATCTAAGCACGCTGCTGAGAGAGCTCGTCTGAGCAGGACACGGCCCCGGCCCCCTTCCCACTCCTGGAGCCCCTCATCTTCCCAGGGGCCCTGCTCTCCTGCTTCCCAGGACTGTCTCTCCCAGGTGATGGCTCTCGACGCCCCTGGAGGGAACTTGCTCCTTCCCCCTTCGGGAGCCTCACTCCGCCGTTTCCCGCTCAAGATGTCCCGCTCGAGGGCACATCTGCCCTTCAATGAGGTGGATTTAAAACTCTCCAAATACCAACAGGAGACTGTGTTCGAGCCTGCTCCACTGGGATCACCAACACGATGGTCTCTTAGGGTGGGTTTTTTTTTTTAATGTTTAACTTTATTTATTTATTCTTAACTTTGAAAATTTTTGGTGTGGTAAGAACACTTAACATGAGATCTACCCACTTAACAGAATTTTGTTTTTGTTTTTGATTTTGTTTCTTTGGCTGCACCGCACGGCTTGTGGGATCTTAGTTCCCTGACCAGAGATTGAACTCGGGCCCCGGCAGTGAAAACTCTGAGTCCTAACCACTGGACCACCAGGGAATTCCCAGCAAAATTTTAAGTCTATAATCCATCATTGTTTTTTTAAATTTATTTTAATTTTTATTGACGTAGAGTTGATTTACAATGTTGTGTTACTTTCTGCTGTACAACAAAGTGCTTCAGTTATGGATATATATTCTTTTCCATCATGGTTTGTTATAGGATATTGGATATAGTTCCCTGTGCTCTACAGTAGGTCCTTGTTGTTTATCTATTTTTATCTATAGTAGTTTGTACCTGTTAATCTCAAACTCCTAATTTACTCCTCCACCACCCCCCTCCCCCTCGGCAACCACAAGTCTGTTCTCTATGTCCGTGAGTCTGTCTCTGTTTCGTGAATAAAGTCATTGGTGTCGATACGTATCGTGTATCATGTAAGTGACATCTGGTTGTAATCCACGACTGTTGACTATTGGTACAGTGTCTTACAGCGGGTACTTAGAGCTTGTTCATCTCACTTGACTGAAACTTTATGCCTGTCGATCGGTAATTCCCCATAATTCCCCTCTCTTTCCAGTCCCTGGCAACCAGCATTGCACTCTGATTCTATGAATGTGACCTTTTAATTTCAGATACCTCACGTAAGTGGAACCATGTCTTTCTGTGACTTGCTTATTCACTGAGCGTAATGTCCTCAAGGTTCACCCATGTTGTCCCATTTTGCAGAATTTCTTTCTTTTTAAAGTCTGAATGGTGTTCCATCCTACGCCTCTATCACATTTCTCTATCTGTTCACCTATCGATGGACATTTAGGTCACTTCCACATCTTGACTATTGTGAGTGATGTCATAATGAATACAGGAGTGCTAATACCTCTTTGAGATCCTGAATTCAATTCATTTGGATAAATACCCATTAGTGGGATTGCAGGGTAGGATTCTGAAGACACGGAGAGGAGATCCCTGGAGCTGTGCCTGCAGTGCTTCCTCGGGTTACAAAGGCACCGCTAGCCCTGCACTGGGAGCACAGGAAAGTGGTTGGGGGTGAGGTTATTTTTGTCTTGCAAACTGCAGGCCAGGTCTTTCTCCTGGGCCAGGGAGTTAACCAGTGCACCTCGTCTGCTAAGTCATCCCCTGTTTTCTCAGGAGACAGTCTTATAAATCTGGCTAATAACTCCCATTTCATTTCCCCAAACTCCATTAGAGGGAAGTTATAATGAAGCTCAAATACTCGCCAGGTTATTCACGGGAAAGACCTCTGGCTTTTAAAAGATGCGTTTTAGGTGGCCAGATTAATCTAGCGGCACATTACAATACAGCCCTGCTGAAGTTCTGCGGGAGATTCCTGGCACCCGGCATTGTACCTTGCACAATGCTGCCAGCAGCGTGAATTATCTTTACAGGAAGAGGCGAGAATTCATATGTCAGGTGGAAAAGACCCACTGGCAGCGCCCGATGAAAACCCAGGACCCTCGTTCCTTGTCAAGGTTCTTCAAGGTTAGAGTCATAATCACACGACTGAGGGAGGACCAAGCACCCTCGGCCGGCCGCTCCCCGAGAAGGGCACCAGGCAGGGCAGCAGAGAATTTACGCGCTGCCTCCCTCCATCTGGCCCTGCTCACCCACAGCCTTGGAAAGAGGCACCTCCCTAGATGCATAACGTAACTTACGGCAGCCACGTGGAAAACAACATGCTGATCTCATTCCTTTCATTACCTCCCTGGCAGAGCAAGTTAATCAAAAAAAAGGTATGATCGCTGCTTTGTGTTCACTTAAGAGGTTGATTTGCAATGTAAATATATGCATTGGTATGGTATATACATCAATATAAAAGTAATAATAACGATGATGGTATCTATCACTAAATGAGCTCCGGACCCTGGGGAAGGATAACTACACAGATTATCTATAACCCCACGAAGCCAACGTTATTCGGTTCATTTTATTGATGGAGAAACTGAGGCTCAGAGTGGTTAAGGAACTTGCCCAAGGTCACACAGCTGCTATGTGATGGGATTCAACCTAAGTTATAAGGTAGTATTTGTGGCAGGGTGAACCGAAGCTTCTCTCTGAACACTCGGCCCCAATCCCACTTGATCCCCACCAAGGTCAAGGGAAAAACTTGGGCATGGGAGATAGACAGGCCCCTGTTCATTGTTGTGTATATGAGGAAGCTGAGGACTGTAACGGGGAGAAGATCATATCTGCCTCCAAGAAATGCAATGTTATTAAGACACAAGTAGGTTAAGAGTAAGAGGATGAAAAAAGCTATGCTGTGGTAATCAGTAATCAAAAGACAGCTGGAGAGAGAACATTAGTATCAGACAAAGCAGATTACAGAGCAAATAAAATATCAGGAATTAAAAAGTCATTTCATAACGATAAAGGGATCAATTAAGCCAGGGAACATAACAATTCCAAATGTTATGCACTGACTAACAAGGCTTCAAAATACATGAAGGAGAAATGAATAAAATTGCAAGAAGAAACAGACAAACCCACAATTACCGTCAGAGATTTCAACACCACTCTGTCAATAATTACTAGAACAAGTGGACAAAAGATCAGCAAGGATGTAGACAACCTGGGCAACCCTCCACCAACTTAGCCTGATTGACGTTTATAGATCACATCACCCAACAACAGCAGAATACGCATTCCTTGTTAGCGCACACGAAGATTTACCAAGATGCATAATACTCCGGTCCATAAAACAAGTCTCAACACATCTAAAAAGATTCAAGTCATACAAAGTATGTTCTCTGACCACGGTGGAAGTAAATCACAAATCAGTAACAGATATTTGGAAAATCTCCAAATAATTGTACATGGAATAATACATTTATAAGTAACCAATGAGTCAAAGAAGAAATTATATGATTATCTCAGTAGCCATAGAAAAAGCATTTAACAAAGTCCAACATTTGTTCCTGATTAAAAAACAAAACTTTAGTAGTAGGAGGGAACTTTCTCAACCGAATAAGAGGCAGCTACAGAAAAAAAAAAAAAAAATGTATAGCTAACATAATGAATGGTGAAAGGCTAAATCCTTTCCTTTTCTAAAGATCAGAAATAAGACAAAGATACCTGCCTTCACAACTTCTACTCAATATTTTACTGGAGTTTCTAACCAGGGAAATTAGGAATGATTTTGTTTTAAGGGACTTTGGGTCACTTGCAAAAGTAAGCCCATGTTGCAAAAGTGAAAATGTGCTATTATGTACAATTAAAAAGAAATCTTACTGACCACGAAGATGTTTCTAGGAGCAAACTTATAGCATTGTTGCTGAAATGCATGCTGTCCTCCAAGAGAACCTGTTTATTTGGAATATCACTTCTGAAGAGATTGTTTGTCAAACAAAACCAAACAAAAATAAGTCAACTTCCTTTAGACCTAATCTCTCCCGTCTATCTTCAGTGGGTCATGGGGACTCCTGGGGGCTTCTGTATTCTTATGACTTCCTGGAGAAAGGCCAGACTTTGGCCTCAAATAAATCAACAAAAATGTGTTGTGCGCCCAGCATGGAGGTGCTGATGGAAGCAGAACATTGGCTTTATCCCTGGAAGAGTTTCAGGACTCAGTGACCAGTTTCTCCTGCAAATAAGTTCCCATCTCTTGTCAGTATGACAATTAATTACCAGGCACCTACGGGCTACGTTTAACAAGAAGTGTCGCATTTCTGCTAACATTTTCTTTTCCAAACCTTCATTCATTTACTCATTCGACAGATATATACTGGGGCACTTATATTGTGCCAGGCAGTCTTCTAGGTGCTGGAGATACAGCATTGAAGAAAACAGACAAAATCTCGCCTTCATGGTAGCTTGCATTCTAGCGGGAGAAACATATGATAAGCCTAATATAAATGAAGTAGATGGTATGTAAGAGGGTGATAAGGGCTCTGGAGGTGAATGAAGCTTGGGGAGGGAAATAAGAAGTACCTGCGGGTGGGGGAGGATTTACAACGAGGGAAATCCTCATGGAGAAGGCGACGTTCAAACAAGGACTTGGAGGAGGTGGGGAGTGAGACGTCTGGATTCCAGGGCAAGGACAGCCGGGCAGTAGTAATGAATGGCCTTGAGCTGGGAGGGCTCCTGGTCTTTTCAAGGGACACCAAGGAGGCAAAGGAAAAGACTGTCTGCACAAGTGAAGTCCTAGTCAGGTCAAATAAAGACGAGTCTTGCAAAGCGGGGTCCTCCAGGGAACCACCAGACAGCTACGGGAATAGGGTTTTGACCGTCTTCTGCCAGACGGCCGCTTTTCGCTGGGATTGAAGGCTGTTGGTTTTCAAGGCTACTGGGGAACTGGGGAGAGGGGGGACGAGAGTAAGGCAAGTTACAACACCATAAAGCTCACGGTTCTTCCTGAGATTCTGCCTTTTCCTTTTCCTAGTAAACACTCCCCGATAGCTGCAAGCCTTTTGTTCATTTTCTGAATTCTGCAGAAGTGGATGGTGACGATTTTTGCCACGGTTCTCAGAGAGGACGTTCAGAGGTCTTTACGCCATCCTTCCCGCCGACGCTACTCTAGAAGGGACACTTGAGGCTGGAAATGGACATAAACGAAGTTGACTAAGCAGGACGCACCCAGAGTTTTCCGTGGGTGTGCAACTGTGAGAGGGGAGAAATATTTGGCTGGCTCAGGGGCCCCAGGCGGCAGGATCGTGGGAATCAGGCAGGATGGATAGCTTGGGGCCATATCCGAACTGGCATTTGAAGCTTTTGAGGAGATAAGTGAACATGAATCTTTGAGGAAGATTAAGCTGGCAGTGGGTCCAGGAGGTGAGCTGGAATAGACGGAAGAAGACCAGTCACTTTAGTCAGAAGGGAATATTGTGTGCCTGAGAGAAGCAATGGTAGCTTGGATGGGAGAGCATCCCCAAGGAAGCTTTGGTCCATGATGGGTTATTGCGGGGTGGGGGGGGCTTCTAAGCACTGTTGTTTTTTGGAGTTATTGACAGTGAGACACCCCCGGCCCTAAGTTTCCTTCTTGCCATCCCAGAAATTATGTAGCTTCCAGTG